TTTGATCAGGGATTCGTGCACATGTCCTACAACAGGGAATGTGTGTGAGCTGCAGGAACAGAGAAGGCAGAGAGAAAGTTGTTGCCGTTATTGTAGTGCCTCTACAATTCCTAAATGGCTAGACCGTTTTATGGAGATAAAATGAAAACTCCTAAGTCGCCAGTATATTAACATCTGTTGATGTTGTTGACAGCTGGTCTCAATTTAACAGAATCTTGGTCAGACGTGCCTCCCAGTGACCAGTGTGGACGAGGTTAATGGTGAGAGTTTGAGATAGGTCCAGACATGGAGCTGGATGTCACCATCACCTACCCTGTTGTGCTCTTAACCCTTGGCTCTTGAGTTCTGCTTACACCACGATCCAGAGATAATAATAATAATCCTTGCATTTGATACAGACCTTATCCCGTCTTTGTATATTTGTGCGCGAAATGCGGCATCCAATTGTGCACAACAGTGTCCCACAAACATTTGCGGGTTGAAATGACCAATTTTATCATTGTTTGTCTTGAGGGATTATTATTAGGCGTGTGTGTGGAGTAAGGAAACTTGCCCAAGGTTTCGCCCTGCCGGCACTCAATCCCAGAGCTCTCGCTTGTAAGCTGAGTGCTCTAACCACTGACTGAGCTCCTGGGACACATCTAGTTTGTCTTCCTGGCATTCGCATTGCACATATGTACTGAACAGCTGATTTTTGTTGTTGACTCAGAATGAGACAGGGGTGGGTGGAGGCGGAGAGGGTGATGTGTGAGCCAGGGGAGATCTGAACCGGGTGTGGGGGTGGTGGAGAAGGAAGACTGGTGGCCGATCACTTGAATTCTTTGCATGGGGAAGCGATGGTTTGTGTGGTGTGTTGTTTTCGTGAAACCTTTGGAGCTGATCTTTATGGTGGGTTAGAGAGGGTGTTTGCTTATGGCTAAAATTACATAACTGAATGTTGATGAGCATCACCTGTGGCAGTCAGAGAACCGCACTAAGCAGCAGAAGGCTTTTCAAACACTCCATCTGCTACAATTCCAGATGGTGCTTTAATCCAGATGTCACCTTACTGTAGTGTTTACATATGCTGTGTAAATCCCTTCCCACCAGCATCGCAAGGTCAAACTACTATTGTCAGTATCTTAGTCGGGTCAAGCATTGTGTTGGTAAAGGGTGCACAGTTACTTCCTACACAAATGTTTGCTCAGTTTTGGCGGAAAGGCATTGAAAAAGAATCAAAGATATTTGTATAATAATGATCCTTTCATTTGATATCACGCCTTATCACGGTATCAGAATGTCTCCGAGTGTTTTGTAGGATTTACTAAAAAGTAAATATAAATATAAAGGCATAAATATAATAATAATAATCCTTGAATTAGGTGTTGCACCTTTTTCACTAGCACCGCAGCCAAAACCCTCGTCCACGCCTTCGTCACTTCCCAGCTGGACTATTCCAATGACCCCCTCGCAGGTCTCCCCAGCTCCACCATACACAAAATTTAATTAATCCCAAACTCTGCCGCCCAGATACTCACCCGCCCAAAACTCCATACCCGCATCACACCAGCCCTTGCCAAGCTCCGCTGGCTGCCAATTACCGAATGAATCAATTTCAAGATCTTCTCACTCGTTTTCAAATCCTTCATGCCCTCGCACCTCCCTACCTCTCCGATCTGCCTACCCCCCACTCCATTACCCGCTGCCTCCGCTCGGCTGGCTCTGGCCTCCTGTTTATCCCTCGTGTCCTCCGTTCCACCATCCGTGGCCGTGCCTTCAGCCAATACGCCCCAAAACTTCTCTCCCTCCATCCCTCTGCCTTGCCCCCTCCCTCTCTCCCTCCCTCCCCATCTTCAAATCCCACCTAAAGACTTTTCTTTTTGATCGTGCTTATGGTCACCTGCCCCCTCCCTCTCCCCCTGGCTCAATGTCAGACTTCGCCACTGTCAAGCAGTCTGAGATGCCACCCGCGTGAAGGGCGCTGTGCAAATGTTGTTGTAAAGAGTTTCCAGAGAATTGCTGCTAAGTGTAGACGCTGTGTATTTATAGGCAAATGTGCCAGCCCATTTGCACATAATAATAATAATCCTCGCATTTGATATAGCGCTTTTCACGTCTTCTCGACGTCTCAAAGCGCTTCACAGAATAGACTGTAAAGTGAATTGACTGTACATTTCTGGGCAAAACGTGGCAGCCAATCGCGCACAGCAGCGTCTCACAAACAGCCATGGATTGAAAATGACCAATTTTATTTTTTTTCTTGAGGGATTATTATCAGGCGTGTAGGCGTGTGGAGTAAGGAAACTTGCCCAAGATGTTGCCCTGCCGGGAATCAAACCCAGGACTTCGGCTTGTGAGGCGAGTTCTCTAACCACTGAGCTACAGGAATCCACATGGCAAGGTGCCACAAATTGACTGGAGAGGATGATAAGATGTTGGTTTAACGTCTCAAGGAAAGGTTAACACCACTTGGCTCAGTTTGTTTCAGGAATAACAATGGGGAGCAGAGCTGTGAGCGGGGTGAGCAAATTGTGCTGTACGTTTATTTCAACCCTGGAGTGCTCTGGGTGTCGCTACCCTGCATGAGGGGTGCTATATAAATGCAAGTTGTTGTCGTCGTCGTTGATTACGGAAAGCAGGACATTGCGAGACCACGTTTAAAGAGGGAACCTGCCACCTGTAGCAGAGTCCTGTGGAGTAGTTGTTAGAGCACTCGCCTCGCAAGCGAGAGGACTCGGGTTTGATTCCCGGGCAGGGCAAAACCTTAGGCGAGTTTCCGTACTCCAGATGCTTCTGTTTACCAAGCAGTAAGTAGGAACCTGGTTGTTAATCAATTGGCGATTGCTTTCCGGGGTAATAGTCCCTCATAAAAAAAGTTTGGTCGTTCAATCTATGACTGTTTGTGGGCCACTGCTGTTGCGTTTATCAATCCATTTTACAATATATTCTGTGAAACCCTTTGAGACGTCTCAATAACCTGATAAGGCGCTATATCAAATGCAAGGGTTATTATTGTCATCATTCTAAAGCGTACGGCTTGCTGAACAATGAAACACCCTTTCAACGAGAAAACCTGCCACAGGTCTGACATTAAATGCCCAGCCCGAACGCATAATTCATTAAAACATTAAATGTTTCTGAAGTGGATGTTTAGCAAGCATCAACCGGTGCTTATACCATGCTCAGGTTTATCTGCCTACTGAACATCACTGTGTTGTTTGTGTTCAGAAAGAAGCTGATTAAATCTGCTGCTGGAAAGCACAGAGACACTAAGCTAGTCTGTAGGAAGTCATTTTGTTACATTCTCAGTGGCTTGCAATCAGCTTTAAAGTCCAAAATCTCTAGTGATTAGTGTCCGTCTGATGGGTGCTGCAGGAAAGCTTCTCGATGAACACGACACGTCCTTTTGGTTAACATTTGCAGTTGTTTTGAACTCAGGGCAGGTTTTGTTAGATCTGACGCTGAGTGGTAATCTGCGAGTGAGTGGATTTTATTAATAATAATAATATTAATCCTTGCATTTAGTATAGCGCCTTATCACGTCGTTGAGACGTCTCAAAGACGCTTCACAGGACATACTGTAAAATGAAACAGTCGTGGATTGAGTGACCGATTTATTACACTGAGCATCATAATTCTAATAATAATAATAATTCTTGCATTTGATATAGAGTCTTATCACATCTTCGAAACAGCTATAAAAGCTGCTATCTCAGGAGTTTCTGCATCTCCGATAAACCAAGCGACCCAAAATTCCACCGAGCCTTAGAAATGCGCCCAAATTATTAAATTCCGTCTTTATTCAAAAGCCAATTTATTTTTAAGAACTGCAGGAAACCAGCCTCCAAACTGAAACTAAATGTAAGTATTTTGCACAATTTCTACCTGATGATAAACGTTACTAGGACAGCCTAAGACTAGGTGGAATTTCAGGGATTTCAGGCATAAGAGAGAAGGGAATGGGAGGGGAGGATAGGAAGAGCAGGAGCCTGTTCCAACCATACCTCAGCTCCATTTTCCCATTTTTGCTCCATATCCCTTGGTACCCTGACCTAACATAAAGCTATCCACCTCAGTCTTGGAAATTTCAATTGATTCAGGGTCTAGGAATAGGTGGATGGAGGCTCGTGTAGCGTATAAATACCCACACTGACTAGTTGATCTGACTGGCCTGTTTCCGTGCTGTAATACTCTATATAATTCTATGGCTATTTGCAGCTCATTAGGGGGTTTACAATGATTGAACATACAGTGGCTGTCTTGAACTCGTTTCATTTCCACAGTAATTCTCTCAAGTATCTGAAATCTAATGCATCAAACCTTTGGCTTCAATGCAAGATCCTATTCCGAACCACTGCTAAACTGCACCTAAAATGACCCGAAGCAAAGTGAAGCTATAGCTTAGTGTGCTGGAGTCATTCCAAGCCCTTACAGAGCAAGCCAGGAACTGAGTCAGCAGCTCACCGCAGGCTCAGTGGTTTATTAATGCCCCGTGTTTACAGTTTTGTGTGAAGATCACATTTCACCTGAGATGTAACTCACGTACAGTTGGTTCACAAAGAGACCAAAGTGGTCTCGATGGGGTGTAGGGGCAGGGGGTGGGAGGGGGGGGGGGGGGCAAGACATTTGTTTTATAACAAAGTGGGGTTCAGTTACAGTGATTACAGTCTTCACAAAATTGAGTCCAGGTCCAGAGTTGTGATGTTGATCCCAGTGACAGGCACTCTGTCCCTACATGCTGGTCTGAAAGGAGTTGATCTGATAAGAACTTACTGGAAGATCAAGGTCCATCAAGTTCGCCTTCCACCATCCTGGTAGACGCTCCTCTTGATATGTCGTGTCCCGAACTATGCAGTGAATCCTGAGATATTGTTTCTAGCAGATAGATATCTATCTCACTTGTTCTTAAAACAAAGCAACAATTTCTGCTTCCACTGTCTGTCTCCCTAGGGAGCCTGTTCCACAAGTTTAAGACTTGCTCTTAGAGGAGATGTTATTAATATCTGTTTCTTTATTTCCAGGACATTATTGGGGCCGTATGGAGTTGACCGCAACGTGCACTGCGTGGATTTTACAGACTGTGAGAATGGGCTGGGTAAGTCACCCAAGGTCTGAGACCTTTCATTGAGGAGAAAGCGTACTTTACCAGGAAATATCTGAGTGTAAATACAACAATAACCACTTGTACTTGTGCAACACACCCACCTAGGAGAACGTCTCAGAGCGCCATATAGTGGAGGCTCAGACACCGAGCAATAATAATAATAATAATAATAATAATAATCCTTGCGTTTGATACAGCGTTTTATCATATAAATGAGACGTCTCAGAGCGCTTCATTGAATCTACAGTAAAGTGGATTGACTGTGTATTTTGTGGGCGAAATTCGGCAGAGCAGCCGCGCACAGCAGTGTCCCACGAACAGCTGTAGAGTGAGCGAGCAAATTTCTTTGGGGGATTGTTGGCCAGGACACGGTGAGAGAAGAGCTTCCGCTGTGGGATCTTTAACATCCGGGACTTTGGTTTAACGTCTCATTCGAAGGACGGAAGAAGCAAAGAAGAGGGGGAGGCCATAATGGCTGGTTCTCACACCTGCTCAATGACGAGCTTCACTTCACTCCAACCCAATCTGACGTGCGTCACTCTGAAACTCCGCCCTGTATTGCACTGAACCACTCTATCTACTTTCACACCCTCATAGTAACAGGAGGGGCGTTAACATTGTGCTCTTATGAAAAAGATGATAACAATGGATTGTTATCATTGTAAGGATTATTATTACCATAATTATGGATTCACAAGCATAGTACATGCATTGAATTAAATTGCATCAAATGTTAAGGATTGTTATTAATATTATTATTAATATTATTAATGGGGTGACGTAGAAAGTTTCCGATCCAGGAAATTCTACCTTTACAGTACACTGATCAGAAAACTAGGCAAATGATTTGCAAATGGCAAGTTATATTGCTAATTACACCCCTGGCTGATCGCCGTCAGTTTTCGACCTATGTTTAATGCAATCAAGTTAAGCGGGCTGCTGGAATGTGCAGGTAATCCTCGAATGAATGAGGTTGTCTCTTATTACATCGTTCAATACTAAGAAATCCAATTCTAGGAAAAGAATAGAAACATAACCAAGTTCCGCTGACCAAGTGCTGGCTCTGGGATTCCTAGAATTCATTTATCCAGCAGCTAGATCTCGGAGCAGGAAATCCTAGCATTAAACTAAATAAGCAACCTTTATCGGACAGCTTCCAAATGGCAAGGACGTGAGGCTTTCGTGGAAGAAATTTCGGATGCTGTTAAAATAAAAACAAATGAGAAAAAGCTTCACGTATAGCCACACACTGAGCATCTTCAAACATCTTCCAGTCATTGATGATCAGTGCGCAATTTATTGATCAATGTGTATTTTATTGATCAGTGCGGATATCATTGATCAGTGCGGATATTATTGATCAATGTGGATGTTATTGATCACCGCGGATGTTATTGATCAGTGCGCATATTATTAATCAGTGCGCATTGTTGATCAATATGTTTTCTAATGCCATAAGCGATTGCTTTGTTTCAGGAATTAAAGTGATTGGTGGTGTGAAGGAGGTGACGGGAGAGGAGTATGGAGTGTATGTGAAGAGAATCTTGCCGGGAGGTCTTGCGTCAGTCAATGGTGAGAGGCTGTTTTACTGATTGCTCTCCTTTACCAGCCTGTGGGAAATCCGTCAGTTAAATTTAGCTGGTAGCTAAATATGTCCGCTGGCGACCCTCTTCTGGCATCGCAGGGGTAATAGTGGGGGCTTCAGATAGCGAATGTTATTCCTTGTTCTCACCCCCACATAATATATTTTCTTTAATTGTAGGTCGTTTGCATCCTGGAGATCAGATTCTGGAGGTTAATGGTGAGAGTCTGGTGGGAGTTACTAATGAAAGGTACAGTACTCACTGAAGTCACTGTTATAACATAGGTGATTCTGTGTTACCCACTGGGCATTGCAATCAGGAATTATAAACAAGAGCTCGTTCAACAACACCACCACCAAATTACATTTTGTACAGCGCCTTTCACATCGGGAGGATGACCCAAGGGGCTGAACAGTCAGGGATTTGGACCCGGGGGTTGGAATCAGGAGGGGTGGAGGGCAGGAAGAAAAGGGGTAGGAGGATGCAGTTGAAGAGGAGGTTCTTGAGATGGGTCTTGACGGAGGGAAGGGAGTGGGGGGTGCGAGGCAAAGGAACTGTGGGAATGGTGTTCCAAAGGGTGATGGCAGAGAAGCTCAAGGCCTGACCACTGATGGTGAGGGTGGCAGGACGGAGGACGTGGAACAGGCTGAAGCCCGCTGAGCAGAGGGATCGGACACGTCTACATGGAGTTAGCAGGTCACAGAGGTAGGGAGGAGCCGGGCGATGGGGGGCTTTAAAGGCGAGGACATGTTGGGGGATTTGTTGACGATGATTTGTTGTTGCCGTTTACTGTTGTCGGAGTGAGCCGCTGCTGCCTTTGTGTTTCAGTGCCGTGGAGGTGCTACGTGCTGCGTCTTCCTCTAACAGCATGCGGCTGATGATCGCACGGGACGAGCAGGGCAGGTAAGAGGCCTGGGCAGCGGGGGAGATGGGTTTTGTTCCAGTCACTGTCACCGTTTAACCTCTGAGGCCTGTGCCCTATCCACTCCACAGATAGCCAGTGTCACAGCTCATCTGGTAGCTATTTCTGTGTTCGTAGCAAAGGCAAAGGGACATTGCTGTGCCCGAGGGAGTTGGGGGTGGGAGGAGGGAGGGAGAATGCCCTCACCAGCCCCAGGAGGTGAGTCCAGGATCCTTACCCCATCCTCTCGTTGAGTCACATTGACTTTCCTCCAACCCTGCCATGACCACATCACCTCCGCCAAGAGACAGACTGCCCGAGCAATCACTGACCGCACTGATCACTACTGGAGCTCCTGGGAAGGCAACCATCACCCACTGGATTATCATCTTATTTAGAGGGAAGGGGGTAGCACTGTACAAAAAAACATCTAAAAAACTTTCTTCGTTTTGAGTGTTCATTGAATTGTTGGTTCTTAAATTCCCGTTTCACCCCGAACCCTGAACAGGAGAGAATTTACAGAATTACTGGAGAAATACACGTCCAGCAGCAGTACCGGCTCAGCCAGGAGTTCACCCGTCCCACAGGGCTCTGGTAAGTCATCTCTCTGCCCCGGGGCTTCCCCAAGGGCGAGTTATACGGGGTGTCCACAAAGTCCTGGTACCCCCTTGTTTTTTTTTCCCTACCAACGACTGAAACGTGTGGAAGAATGACGATCATTGTAATTAGAAGCACTTCATTGTATTCAATTGCAAGTGTTCAACTGTATTTAGACGTCCAGAGGATCAGTGGGTGTGAATGAGCGAGTGAGCGCCATCATTTTCATGGCAGATAATGATGCGGGGAGTGACGGGACAAAACATCTCTGACGCTTGTTTCAGCTCCTCCGTGGTCTCGTATCACTGCTTTGTAACAAGGGGTAACAGGACTTTGTGGACACACTGAAAGTTAGCATAGATCTGTATTAGTTCAGAGTTTTTGATCGTTACTAAAAGGTCATTGTTGGTGACTTTGGGCCAAGGTCACTGGTCTAAGATCTAACGATGAGACAAGCTCAGGCTAATCAGTTTGAGAGAAGTCATCTCAGAGGAGACCTCATAGAAGTGAATTTGTGCCTCGTCAGACCTGCAAATTGTTCTGTGTGCCACTAAAGCCTCCAGCGAGCTGAGAAAGTTTTATTTTTATAATATAATAATAATCCTTGCATTTGATATAGCGCTTTTCACGTCGGGAGGACGTCCCAAAGCGCTTCACAGAACAACTGCGCACAGCAATGTCCCACAAACAGTCGTGGATTGAAAAAGACCAATTTATTATTGTTTTTGTTTTTTTGGAGGGATTATTATTAGGTGTGTGGAGTAAGGAAACTTGCCCAAGGTTTCGCCCTCTGCCTGGATTATTTATTATAATAGAGCATAGACATTTGCAATATTTAATTGATATTATTTATTGTCTTTTACCTCCCTCGCCTTATGCTCTCTTCCTCTCTCCCTCTCTCTCTCTTTCTTTCTTCTTCCGCCTCTCTCTCTCACCCTCTTTCTTCCTTCTCCCCTCTCTCCCGCCCCCCCCCCCACCCTCTGAGCAGGCAGATATCTGGACAGTGTATCCTCAGGATCATCCTCGAGTTCCCAGAGCCCTCAGCAACTAAGCCCTGTTAGTTCTCACAGCTCCTTCAATGGAAACACAGGCTCATTACTTCGCTCAAGTTCACAGTACGTGACAATTTGTACGATGTTTGTTTTCCAGAATAAATAAAGCTGCTTCATCACACGTGCTCTTCTTGTCTTTCAACCTCTGGAAAGACAGAGATAGAGAGTACAGACGGCCATTCTAATTTTGGAACCTGAACTCAAACCAGTGACGACTAGTGGTTGAGACGTTGAGTTTATCTCATCCCCCAAAGAGCGATGGAGTCACCGAGTGTCGCTGCGAGCAAAGTTGGGGCGTTCAATGTTTACACTGAGCAACGTGGGGAACTCAGTGATGCAAGGAACAGCTCCATATCAGACGTGAGGGTATCTGCCGTGTCCCTCGTGAGAAATGTACCGCACACGTTCCTTCACGTGGGCGCGACGCACTCACACGCAAAACGTCTCCAGCTTGGAACGCGCTTCAGAATTTTCTTTTTTTTTCAAAAAAGCCAAGTCTCTGCCCAGTTCTGTTTGTTAATCGTTGTTCCAGCCCTCGTTTGTAAAGCAGCTTCTCTTTTCAGTTACCCGGGCGATGCCGGGATTCAGCTGGTCAACATCACCAAGACAACAGGCCTCGGCCTGGTGATTACGGGGGGAGCCAACAGGCCTGATGGGCCCAATGTCTTTGTGGAGGACGTCGTCTCCGGGGGAGACTGTCACAGGGTAAGACACGTTCCGCTCGGGGCTGGAGCAGGTTTTCATTCAGGGCGATTGACTCAGAAGCTACAATAATATTTGTAATATAATATCACGGTAATATAATAACTTCTTTGCATAATCAGATGAGACCTTAAACTGAGGTCCCATCTGCCTGTTCAGGTGGATGTTTCTCTCTCGCACTGTCCTGGCCAACAGTCCCCCGGATAAAATTGGTCACTCACTTCCATGGCTTTTTGTGGGGCGCTGCTGAGTGAAACCGGCTGCCGAGTTTTGCCCACAAAATCCACAGTCGCTACACACTTTACAGTACATCCCGTGAAGGGCTTATTATGATCAACATCCCATTGACAAAGTGGGTCATGTTGGAGCAAACTTATCCGAATGAGCCCAAACATTCAGCACAATGTAACGGTGTGAAAGGTGCAGCTGGTTGGGGAGAGGGAGGCGTGTGTGCGCTCTGCTCTGGCTGTGCTGACACGGATGTGCGGGTTTGAGACATCCTCTCGTCATGTTGGGCAGGACGGGCGACTTCGTCCGGGCGACCAGCTGATCGCGATTAACAAGAAATCTCTGATTGGGGTGACCCTGGAGGACGCCCAGACCATCCTCAACAAAATCAATTTCAGGTGGGAATCCGCACTTTGTGACTACCGTGGTTACAGCAACAACTGGCATTGACGCGGTGCCTTTCACACAGGGTAGAGTCTCGGAGCGCTGCAAGGTGGCGGGGTTGGAAGTTGAGCCAGGGGGAAGGCAGAGAGGGAGGTGACCACAGGAGCAGTTGAAGAGGTTGATCTTAAGGTGGGATTTAGAGGTAGGTAAAGAGGGGCCCAGGATTGAGGCAGTGAGCTCTAGAGATTAGGGTGTTAGTGGCTGAAGGCACAGTCACCGATGGTGGCGCGGAGGGCTAAGGGGACACGCAGCAGACCCTGTGGCCTGTGCCAGCTCAGCAAAAGGGGGCGTTCAGAGAAGCGGAGTACGAGCAGGTCAGAGAGGTCGTGAGGTTATTAACTGGGACAAGTCTGAACCCCACACAGTGTTACACCACCACAAATGACATTTATTTAGCACCTTTCACATCGGGAGGATGTCCGAAGGCGCTGGAAAGTCGAGGATTTGCACCCGCGCAGGGGTGGGGGGGGTTGAACCCGTCATGTCGAACGTAACAGATTCAACCCCCAGCACACGTCAAACCCAGACACTGTTGCTCCAGTACGTGTTCTGATCAATTAATGAGGCTGCTGGAATACTATGTGAAACAGCAAACAGCGGTGATCAGTGGAAAATGTGACCCTTTCCCAACTAATGTGACATCCACAAAGTCATTCATTAATTACAAATGAAGCAATTGCAATCATTTGTAATCGATGAATGACTTTGTGAAGGCTGCGTGCTTAACACTCTGCGCCAACCTCAGCCACTGACCTCTGGAGCTCCCTGCCTCAATCCTTCCACCTCGTCCCGTCTTTGTCTATCTTTAAATCTCACCCTAAACATGATCCGATGGTAGTGACGTGTACTGCCACACTGTTTGTAATTGTGTTTGCTGCGTCTGTAATTGATTCGAAGGAATGAAGGAACAGCAGTGATTGCGTTTATACCAGGGAAAGGCCCTCTACACCCCGGCACCTCGTTAAACAACGACAACCATTCGGCCCAGAAGAACGTGGGAAACGGCTGTGGTTCCAGCAGGTTAAAGGTTCACGTCGGCACATCCAAGGTCAGTGTGAGAGATGTCTATAGGCACCAGAGAGCGAGGGAGGCAATGACTCAGATAAAAAAAAAGCTTATTCATCCTTGCATTTGATATAAGCACTTTATCGAGATGTCTCAAAGCGCTTCACAGAATACACTGTAAAGTGAATTGACTGTGTGTTTTGTGTGCGATCTGAAGAGTGTGAAAGGACAGGAGTAGGGAGGGCAGGAGTTTTGTGCCATAAGGTTTCCTTTTTATTATTTGACACAGTGCCTTTCACGTCAGGAAGACATCTCATAGAGCTTCTCAGGACTTACTATAAAATTTACTCACTGTGTACCTTATAGGCAAACCATCAGCCAGTTTGCACACAGCCATGAAGTGGTGGGGGAATCTTTTCATTTGGGGCATTGTTGGCCAGGACACCAAGAGAAACTCCCATTTGTCATGAGATCTTTAACGTCCACCTGAGCTAACACAGATGGGATCCCAGTTTAATGTCTCATCCAAAGGACGGCAACTCCATCAATGCAGCGTTCCCCCAGCATTGGACTGGAGCATCAGCCTAGTGAGCTCAAAGCCCCCACTAAGCCAGTCTGACACACACACACTGAGCCGGCCTGACACACACACACTGAGCCGGCCTGACACACACACACTGAGCCGGCCTGACACACACACACTGAGCCGGCCTGACACACACACACTGAGCCGGCCTGACACACACACACTGAGCCGGCCTGACACACACACACTGAGCCGGCCTGACACACACACACTGAGCCGGCCTGACACACACACACTGAGCCGGGCCTGACACACACACACTGAGCCGGGCTGACACACACACACTGAGCCGGCCTGACACACACACACACACACTGAGCCGGGCTGACACACACACACTGAGCCGGGCTGACACACACACACTGAGCCGGGCTGACACACACACACTGAGCCGGGCTGACACACACACACACTGAGCCGGGCTGACACACACACACACACACTGAGCCGGGATGACACACACACACGGAGCCGGGATGACACACACACATACACTGAGCTGGGATGACACACACACACTGAGCCGGGATGACACACAAATGGGCAGAAATGGAATGTATTTTTTACATCTGTATTTTTTAAGTCTGTACATTTTGCATGAGGGAGAGGGAGACTTCTCTTGGGGCCCTGTCGATCATTCTATTAATTATTAGTTTCCTTTTAATTGTTTTGAATTTAATTGGGAAATTGAGATGAGTCTTTACTGCAGTTGTTTATCTGAAGATAATAATAATAATAATCATTGTGTTTGGTGCAACTCCTTATCACATTATCGAGACGTCTCAAAATGCTTCACAGGATGCACTGTAAAAGCGTGTGACTGCGTGTATTTTGTGGACAAAGTCAGTGGGGATGAGAGTTCTTCTGTGACTAGTTTACTAGGTGAACATTTGAGAATGTTTGGGATCCATGGAGCCAACCAAGCAGGTTAATGGCTGATGCAGCTCACAAATGTAACCTACAGATTAATATAGCGATCAGTCCTTGATCCGATTAAAAAAAATAACCTTGTGAATAAAAACTCACAATGTAATGTGAGCAGCTGAATCTGTTATGTTGCTGGCCTATGTGTCGTCCTGTGTGTTATTGTAGAATAAGGATTCTCCATTGTGTTGAACCTTCAGGCTAATCACAAACTCTTGTGTGTTTTCCTCTCCAGCCCCGACATGAAGATCATTTGCCTGTGTCTTCCTCATCACCAGACATCTGCCCGCCAGAGCTCACTATCTCAGGTACTCCTCGGCCTCCGCTTGCTGAGGAGCAAAGAATTTCCCTTTTCTGACCTTCCTCTTTTGTCCTAGGACAAAAGAGGAAGGTCAGAAAAGGGAATTTTTTTATTTTTTTGACAAAGATTGTCACTAAAATCATCCTGGCTCCGAGGTGACAAATTTGCCAATGGAATGTCGGAATGGAGCCAGCCCCCTGTGGCGGTCTCGGTTGTCCGATTCCTGAGCCAGACAGGTCCGCAGTATTCCAAGACGCTGCTGATGACAGCACAGCCTGGCTCATGGGAGGGACCTGGAAGGGCAGACCAGTCACTTAGGACAGGGAATCATCCCACTCAGCTCCTGTTAACCCTGCAAGCCAAAGCACTAACGGATGGGTGGTCCTAGCTGGACAAACCGTGGGTGGAGGCGGGCATCCCAGAAAAGTGCAGTGTCAGTGTAAAACACTGGTTCATCCATTGCCCATAATGGTGAGGAACAGGCAGGTTCCAGCACACTTAAAGATATATAAAATGTTCTTTACGTAAAGATGTAAGTAGTTAATGTAGCTCAGGAGAAAGGCTTTAAGTTTGCAGGCACTAAAGACTGAGCGAGAGAATAACAATAATCCTTGCATTTGATATAGCATCTTTTCACGTCGTTGAGACGTCTCAAAGCGCTTCACAGGATATACTGTAAATTGTAGTGACTGTATTTTGTGGACCAAATGTGGCAGCCAGTTGCACAAGGCAATCCCTCAAGACAGCATTGGAGTGAGTGACCAAGTTTATTCAGGGGATTTGTTGGCCAGGACGCCGGGAGAGGGAAACTCCCTTCTCTTTTCCAACAGTGCCGTGGGATCTTTAACGGAACCTCGGTTTAATGTCTCATCCGAAGGACGGCACGAAGGACAAGTCCTGCTGCCCCTTCGATGAGATGTTAAACCAAGTCTGGATTGTGAGTTGGTCCAGGCACCTCCAACAAAACAGCACCTGCCCAGCAGAGCTCCCCAGTCACTGCGATCGAGCGTCACCTTAGACAATGTGATTCAAAGTCCCGAAGTGGGGCTTGAACCCACAACTTTCTGACTCAGGGGCGAGAGCCCTGCCCTGCCACGCCCTGCTTGGGAGGATTGGGGGGAGGCATATAAACACAAGTTGTTGTTGCCAACTGAGCCAGGCTGACACGGGTGGTTTTGGGGCGAGTCAGTTGGAGAGCTGACAGAGTTTGGGATATTCATTGTTTCCAAAGGAAACGCTGGATTTAGCACAATCTTTCCGTGGAGTAGAGACACGTCAATCCCGGCACTTTTATCTCACGCTTCGTTTTAACGCGAGCCCTGAGGTAGGGGATGCAGCCGCTGGGGTTATCACGGGTTTGCTCTCTACTTTACTTTCGCTAATGGAAATCCTTTGCTCCTCTATCCAGCTGCCACACCATCTGCCCAGAAGGAAGCAGCCAGTAGCAAACAAAAGGTCTCGCTGGACCCTCACGTTAGGTTAAAGATGGACAAACTTGACTTGGTGAGTATCTTCCTTATTTGCTAGAGGTAGCTTTGGATTCAACAACAACAACAACAACAACTTGTACTTATACAGCGCCCTCCTCGCAGGGTTAGCGTCTCAGAGCGCTTAACAGTGGCGGAGCCTGACTCCGAGCCGGGGGGGAGGTGGCCGTAAGCACGGTCGAAAAGGAAAGTCTTCAGGCGGGACTTGAAAGAGGGGAGAGAGGCGGAGGGTTTGAGGGAGAGTGTTCCAGAGTTTTGGGGCGTAGTGGCTGAAAGCATCACCTCCGATGGTGGGGCGGAGGGTGCGAGGGGCGAGCAGGAGGCCGGTGCCAGTCGAGCGGAGGCGGAGTCGCCGATGGTGGATTGGAACTTTGGCAAATGAACTTCAGTGACTCAATGAAGATCTTTGATTTCCATGTTGTATGTTTGGAATGAGAGTCAGAGGGAATTATATAATAAGTGAGGGAACTGGCGATTCAAGCAGCAGCAATGTTATTCCACGGCATAATGGGGAACAACAACTTGCAATTACAGAGCACTCTTCATGTAGATAGAGAAGGAGCAAGACAGAGGCTCAAGGATGAGGCCATAGAGGCTGAAGACGTGGCCACAAATGGGGTTAAGAGGGCGGGTAACGGGCAGCAGCCCCGAGTTTGCCGAGTGAAGGGGTGAAAAGGAGTCAAAAGTGCAAAGAATCACAGAGGTAGGGAGGTGCAAGGGGGAAGGAATTTGTAGGTGAGGATCTTGGCTGATGCTGGGTGACAAACATCCAGAAGAGCTTAGCGAGGACAGGAGTGATGGGCATGTGAAGCTCTGTGTGGGCAAGAATGGTGGCAGCAGTGTTTTGGATGAGAATTTTGCAGCTTGTGGACCAGACTCTTGCTGCACCTCACCCAGGCACCTTGGTTATCAACATGTTTTTATCTGCTGTAGGCACTGATGTATCTGGGACTGGATGTAACAGAGGAACGGAGACGAGAGCTGAAGCAGAGCCTGACAGCAGATTCACAAGGAACTGTGGCCTTTGGAGGTAAAGACAACCATTGTAGATTGGATTCTAGATTAGCATAAAGAAAGCTTCTCGACTTTTGTAACATTTGTATTACCTCCAGCTTCTTTGCCAGTTTCCCACTGGTGCCAGCCTGGCTCAGTTAGAATCAGGCTCGCCTTTGAGTTGGAAGATTGTGGGTTCAAGCCCTCTGGTTGGGACTTTGAACTCACATCGTCAAACAGGGCTGTTTTCTGTTTTCATCAGAAAAATTGTTGTGATCTTGTGGCTGACTCTCCAATACTGGGGAGTGGGGGCGTAGAGGGGCTGCTGGTTAGAGGCGCCTTCCTTCCAATGTGCCATTAAACCAAGGTCCCATCCCATTAATATATGTGCAGACATTTTTGGTATAAATGGACTGTGTAAATGGGAACCATTAAATAACACGATTCAACACGGCTGGAAACTTACTCCTCATTATCAGGCAGTCAAGTTGACTCATCGCGTAAATACGTCACTTAACTGCAGCTGCTATTTCTCTTTGATGTTATCTGATGGTTATTTTTTTTAAAAAAGTCATTTTTGTTCAGGACCTGAAAGGTTTAGTGCAACCACCCGCAAAGTAGTCAAACTCTCCCCTCTTCCTCCACTCTTCAAGCTCTCACGCCCTCACCCCCTTAAAAAAAAGCAGAGAATGTTTCAAGATTATAGTTTAACAGAATGAAAAGGTACCTCCATAGAACTAGTCTTCAGCAACTTATTTTCTGACCTGTAAGCTCATCCAAAACTCTGCAGCTCGTGTACTCTCGCGCACCAGATTCCCTGATCCCATCACTCCCACCCTCGCCCGACTCTACTGGCTCCCCATCCCTCAGAGGATCGAGTGCAAAGTCCTCATCCTCACTTTCAAGGCCATCCATGGCTTTGCACCCTCCTACCTTTCTGACCTGCTGACTCCCTACCAACCTGCCCATTCCCTCCGTTCAGCGGGCTCCGCCCTACTCCATGTCTCCTGCCCGACCTGTCCTACCATCGGTGACCGGGCTTTCAGTCTCTCTGCCCCCACGCTCTGGAACTGCATCCCACAGTCCCTTCGCCTCGCTTCCTCCCTCGCCTCCTTCAAGGCCAGTCTCAAGACCCTTCTCTTCGATCGCGTCTTTGGTCGCCCTCCCACCTCTCTGCCTTCCCTCACCCCTACCCCACCTCTCCCCCATGACACCTGACTGTTCAACGCCTTGGAATGTCCTCCCGACGTGAAAGGCGCTCTATAAATGTAGTTTTGTTATTGTTGTTGTAAGAGAAAAGCGACAAAGCGAGCTAGGATTTGGAATGGAAGGTTCTGTACAAACAAGGTGACAACAACAACAACAAATTGCATTTATACTGCGCTTTTCACTTCAGCGGGATGTCCCAAGGAACTGGTCAATGATGGGTTTGCACCTGAGCGGGGAGTTGGAGTCAAGAGGATGTGGATGGTGGGGGTAGGAAGGTGACCGAAGGCGTGGTTTGAAGAGGAAGGTCTTGAGACGGGCCTTGAAGGAGGCAAGGGAGCGGGAGAGGCGAAGGGACTATAGGATGGAGTTCCAGAGGGTGGGTCAGAGAGACTAAAGGCCCGACCGCCGATGGTGGGGCGGGCAAGGCGGGGGACATGGAGCAGACCAGAGCCCACTGAACTTGAGGTTTACTTGGTCTGAAATAACTGATGTGAACTCTCACTCCGCAGTGTTTGTGCAGGCTGCGAGGGACTACCTGCAAGAGGAGATGGAAGAAGTCGGACTAAGTCAAAGCCCCCCGTTGTTCTCTCCGAATGAGGTGGCCAATCTGCTGGATACGTCAGCCTTCCACTCAGTAGGTCTTAAGAACTGTATTTTGAGGCTTGCAAAAAGAGCCAATAAATAATATTTTAAGTAAGATTCAAACTCACTGCCGTCATAGCGTGAATATTCCTGGAATCTGTTTTCAAAATAAACCAGAACAATCGCTAGGTTAATTCATAGAAAGCGTCTCATGTGAGAAAGACACTTCCTTTTTTAGCTGAAATAAGTACGTACATCTGTATCTATTCAAACGTTACGACCCACAGAGATAAATAAGTGTTTCCTGTACTTACAGCGACTGGAATATGTAACAAGAAGCCGTTAGTTAAGGCAAATAGAGGCAAAAGATGTGTACTAGATTGCTAGCTTAGTCAATAATGGCTAATATTATCTGTATTATCTGTATTGCCTGTAACCTAATTAAAGGTTTAGTATGTTGTGCAAACCAGCTAGCAGGAGAGAATTGGGAGTTGAGAATAAGGTGGTATTTTTTTTAAACTGAGCAAGGTTAGGCCAGCTCACCCCCACGAGCCGAATTAGACCGAATACATTCCACTTAGAATACGATGGTGCGTTTGAAATCTTATCTAACAATCTGCCTTCACCCGGTGGGCACTGCACTTGTCGCTGTGGGTCGCATTCCGGCCCCCAGTCCAGTGTCAGTCTGTCCCCTCCCTCCCTCCATTTTATCTGGACTACCCAGGCCCTCCGTAGCCCCTCCATGTTGTTATGTTATCTTTCTGGAAGGGAAACACAAAAATTTTGCTTGTGCAGCTGGTGGCCGTTTCTCAAATAGGGCATCCGGCCCTCGGCAGCCAAAAGCTTGGACCCCCACCTAGCCCCGGCTAGAGATTGAGAACTGTGGGCGTTTTGCCCACAAAACATACTTTACAGTATATTCTGTGAAGCGCTTTGAGACGTCTAGTAGATGCGATAAGGCGCTATATCAAATGCAAGGATTATTATGATTATTATTAGCATTGGCTCACAGGCCCTGCCGAGGAAAGTGTCTGCGTCATGGTGGTGAGCCCTGGAACAGCACACCTCTCTCCAGGCGATCAAATCAGTTTGACTAAACGAGGAAGCAGTGATGGGGATTTAAAGAACTGTGCAATTTTCAATTAGATGGGCACATTTTTAGTTTAGAATTATTTTAATTATAGCAGCTTTAATCCACGATTACAATTGTGTTAAGTTAACTTTCATATTCAATGTGTTACTCAACCAACTTGTACCCTATGGCCTGGACCCCTATGATATTAGGGCTATTACTGGGTCTGCCTTTAAGATTCCTTGAAACATTTGTCCTTGGGTCATTGGACCTGGGCAAACGCAACCAGTTATAGTCAGGAAATCCAGCTGGGGGTAAAATCATTGGAAGATTTTACTTCACAAGTGACAACACAATCAATTTATTGTATTGTACTCCGAGGTTGATTGGTCTATCCTGAAGTATTACGTGGTGTCGTGATCGGCCTTTTGTTCTCTTCACCTTCTAAACTTTAGCCGTTTACTTCGAACATCGCCCGTGACACAGAGGAGCTGGAGCAGCTGCACACAGAGATGGCAGAGCTGCACCAGGAGGTAAACAACCTGAAGGTGAGTTTCCCATCAGTGTGGGGTGTGACAGGGTTCATGCACTGCTGTGGCTCTGCTCCCTCACCATTCAGCAGTTATTAATTATTCTGAAACAACATTTGCACTTACGCTTGCATTTACACTGCGCCCGTCACATAGGTTAATGTCTCAAAGCGCTGTAAGGCAGGGTTGGACCCCGAGTGCGAAGGAAGGGGAGGTGACTATAGGCGCAGTTGAAGAGATTGATCTTCAAATGGGATTTAAAGATTCATAAAGAGGGTGTAAGGCGGAGAGATTGAGGCAGAGTTCCAGAGCTTAGTGAGTGCAGTGGTTGAAGGCCTGGTGACCAATGGTGGTGCAGAGGGGTTGGGGACGAGTGTGGGTCTGTGTGAGCTGAGCATAGGGGGTGGCCAGAGGAGCGAGGTATGAGCAGGTCAGAGGGACAGGGAGGTGCTGGGTGGGACAAGGGAGGCATTAGTATTGAGGGTGATGTTCTTGAGGATCATTCGGGGACAGGGAGCTCGTGGTGCGAGGATTTAGTGGCAAGGTGTGGAGTTTGATGCAGGTGAGGATATAGGTGGTATTAAACATATTTAAAGCTCTAAAAAACTCCAAAACCCGCAGGAAAACATTAAGGAATCGAAAAAAATTATGATTTGGAAAGACTGCATTTATCAGTAGCTGGTCTCATTGTAACAAGGCTATAGAAAAGGCCAATGGTGTCTTGGACTTTCTATCCAGAGGGATAGAATATAAAAGTGAGGAGATGATGTAGAATTTACAAGAAACCTTAATTAGTGGGGATTATCATCAGGCATTATAGTTCATATAAGCTCAACTGTTGTATAAACTGTTGTTAGAACAGACCACAAAGTACAGTCCCTGACGATTCAGAGCTCAAACATTTGAGTATAAAGTTTAGTTGAGTACCAGGCAGGAAGGCTATAAAGTTTGCTGCGTTGTGTCTGCTCTGTATTTTACAGGCTCTCATGATAGAAACTGAGAAGAGTAAGAAATCCCTGGAGGATGAGCTACAGCATCTCAGTCAGGTCAGTGTGGTGAGCGTCGTGTATCAGAGCAACAACAAAATTATACTTGTATAGCGCCTTTCACGTCAGGAGGAGTAGAGAGAAGAGCGTCAGTCACCACCTCAGCCGCTAGCTATGGGGCCGCAGATACATTCAGTACAGCACCATGTTCCAGTCGCGTTGGAGTTACTTGCCTCCTTCCTTTGTAATCAGCTGCCTCGTTTCGCCCACAAAACATACAGTCGAAAGGTCTCAAAGATGTGATAAGGTGCCATTAATGCAAGGATTATTATTATTATTATTCCACTCAATAAGGTTGTGCATTATACCAAAGCCACAAGAAATTCACTCCCATGAAATCTTGTGCTGTTGGTGCAGAAACTTGCAAGAATTTGTGCAGAGTTCAGCCAAAGTGAAGGTAAAGGCAGAGCAGTTGCTCAGGAGACTAAGGAAAGGTGGGTCACCACATGATAGCAGGGTCCTGGGGTTGGGGCTGCAGCAAAATTGCCAGATTCTGTAAACAAACACCAAAAACCTTTTGGGTATTGGCATTTGGCGGAGGGAGAGAAAGGTGCAGAACAAGATGAAAGGAGAAATACAACTACATTTAAACAAATTCACCTGATCCCACTGACTGCCAGACCACCCGTCTAACCCTGCAGAAAGCCACTGATGCACTTGTAGAAAATAGGACTCTCCAGAACAAGTTACAGCTGGCCGACGCTGTGCAGTGCCAGGCACACAGCGCTGAGCAGGACTACGAGGAGGTGATCCGTCTCCTTGAAGCCGAGATCACCGAGCTCAAAATTGAGCAGGCGGGGAAACAGCAGGTCAGCCCTGGAGAGTCCACCAAGGTAAGCCATGACCTGACGGTCATCATCCAGCATACATAGGAGGGGAAGGGGGGCCGGGGTGGGAATTGTGTGGAAATGTCCTGCCCGTCCAGCTAAGTGGTTGGGTTTGATTCGAGGGTCTGTCTTTGAGACATTTTATTTTTACGTAAATAGCATTATACAAATACAAGTTGTTAGGACATAGCAGACGAGATCAATGCTGCAAGTGCTGCAGATTGAGCACCTGTGTGTTGCTGAGCACAATCCGAAAGACTGGCAACGTCATAGATATAATCACTCCATTTCTTGGAAGCTGTCGGTTGTGTCTTTGGTGACTGCTAATCTTCCCCACTGGCTTCATATCTAATGAGGCTGAGAGAGTGTAGAACAGACCTTTACATTGTCTGTGAATTTGTTCTGTGGTTTTTATTACACTTGCATATTGACGTTAAAGTGATTGAAACCCAATTTCTCAGGAGGATGTTCAGGAGCTGCGACGGAGGCTCTCCATCATTGATTGCCAGCTGCGCAAATCTGAGCTTGATCGAAAACATCTGGAGATTTCCAACAAGAGACTACTGTCGTTTGCCGAAGTAAGGGTTTTGTTTAATGTCTGCAGTAATTGGTTGTTTGTCAGGAATAAAGTGCTGACCTCAGGGCACTTCTTGTTTGTGTTGCTCTTATTGCCAAACAACCGAAGGTTAAACCTCTAACATCTGTTGACACTGCCTGTACTGTAACACACAGAGCACGGGGAACAAACTGGGAAAACTGGAAGCCATGATTAACAGTGAGGAATTGGATGTGATTGCATTAATAAAAACATGGTTACAACCTGGGCATGATTGGCAATTAAATATTGCAGGATACAATATATTTAGAAAGGAGAGGCGATGGGGCGGTGGGGGTCAGCAGTCCACAAGGTTAAAGAGTTCAAGGCACCTGCCCACATGGACTGCACCCACGGAATTCAGAATATGCTTTCCTTACTCCACACGCCTCTGTATCCTTAGCAGTAAGTAGGAACACAGTCGTTAATCAATTGGCACATGGCTTTTCCGGGGGTACTAATTCCTTTCAAAATATAAATAATAATTTGGTCACTTCAATCCATGACTGTTTGTGGGGCACTGCTGTGTGCAATTGGCTGCCGAGTTTCGCCCGCAAAATGTACAGTTACTACACTTTACAGTATATTCTGTGAAGCGCTTTGAGACGTCTAGAAGACGCGATATGGTGCTATATCAAATGCAAAGATTACTATTATATTGTAATAATGGCGTCTTTTAAAGTTAAAGCGTGTTCATGTACTTGATTGATAACATGTACAAAAACTGAAAATCTATTCCATCATTCCCCAGCATTAATATCCCTCACCAGCATGAAAACAATCATCTTCTATCCTTCCCCCACCACCCCCGCCTGCCCCCAAATAAAGATGGTTTGATTTTCATCGTTAACTCTACTTCTTCTACAGAATGTGCACAAGGTTCTAACATCTGCCAATCTAGTGGGCGTCGGTAAGGGGTAAGTGAACTGGAATATATTGCCATGGTATCTAATTATTCGTATCATACCAGCAGAAAGTACATTGTGCAATATAGCTGTGGAGAGTTCCATATTAGAAGCACAATCTTTTCATATCTTCCTGTCTGTGATATTCATGAAAATGTTTTGCAAACCTGTATTTGTATAGAAAATACACTAAGTGTCAGCAGGCTAAGGGAATCACTGCGGAGGGTATCACAGCTGAGCTGACTCCTGTTCTCACCTGGCCATTCTCGGGGTCCTGTAGCTCAGTGGTTAGAGCACTCGCCTCACAAGCGAGAGACCTGGGTTCGATTCCCAGCAAGGCGAAATGTTGAGCAGCTTTCCTTACTCCACCCCCCTCCATTTACCTCGCAGTAAGTAATAATAAAAATAGTAGGAACCCGGTTGTTAATCGATTGTTAATTGATTGGCAGGTCGCGTTTTTGGGGGTGATATTTCCTTAAAAAAATTGGTCACTTCAATCCACGACTGTTTGTGGGACGCTGCTGTGTGCGATTGGCTGCCACGATTCGCCCACAAAATATACAGTCAATTCACTTTACATCACGTCCTGTGAAGCCCCTTGAGATGTCTCGAAGATGTGATCAGGCGCTATACCGAATACAAGGATTATTGTTATTATTATTCTATCCTGGATCACTAGCTAGTGATTAGTGAGCAGGAACTATGATACACAGTACAAATGGAACTGTATCCATGAACTCCATGCTGCCTCCATATACTCAGTCCTGGTTCTGTATAAATGTGTAGTATAACTGATATATTTGAGACACATTGCTGTTTCAGGTCAAACACCACATGTACTCCAATGAATACCAAGCAGTTGATTACCTTATGTGCCTTTTTGCAGAGTGAACCAGTTGATGGGCAGCACAACTGAAGACGGTCTGGCCTTGCCCCCACCTCCTGAAGGACCTGCCAGGCTACTTGCAGCAGAAGCCAAACAGTTAGTTGAGGGTGTCTTCTCTTTTAGATGTGGAAATGGTAAGCTGAATACAAAGGGGTGGGGTAAGACATGGGTGGGTGGGAGAGGGAGCCCTATATCCACTGCAGTGTAATGTGTATATGTCATGAAATATTACTGTATATTTAAAAATTATAAATGTTGGGGCATAGTTGCTTTGCAATATTTGGCCACACAGTGGTGTCATCGCTCAATTTCCATTCCCACTTGGAAAGAAATTTACATGTAAGAAAGATGTGCATTTTGCAGTAAACATTCAAATTGACACAAATTCTGGTTAATACTTTAATGAGCAGAACTTGAGTGGATACCAGGAATAAGATCCCCAGTATGGCAATTCATTTTGATGGTTAAACACATCCCTTTGTGGTTAAACTAAGTGGGAGGATTAGCTTTTAAACAGACTTGGTTGTTCTAGTTAACCCATGACTTCAATGTAATCTTGTCTACGTGGAATACAGTATGTAAAAATCAATATGTGTACAAAATGAAGTACCGGGTGAGGAAGGATGTACCCTGTTCTGCACTGGTACTTTACTTGCTATCCTCTAAAGGAAAGTTTCAGGGTACAGAACAATTGAGCATGAGACACATTTTAAAAGATGCCGATTTCTAATTTGTTGACTACAGTGGTCCAGTTGGCAAATCCTGATATGATTTTGTTCAAAATATATTAAAACCTGATCTCAATAGAGGTTGCTTCTGGCAGAGACCCCCTGGATGTTCAGCCAAGCACTGTTGTGATTTATTTAGTCTTCAAACATTGTGTGTGTTGTCATAGATCCAATTTGTCTTGCAGCATTGCCATATGGGTGGGAAGAGTGCTGTACACCAGATGGGGCCAAATACTACATTGAGTAAGTAGCACAGTATTCCTCACAACTCTTCTAATGGATCTAATCCCTCCCTCAACCCCTTTGCCGCGCCCCTTCCTTCCTTTTCGACCGCGCCTACGGTCACCTTCCCCCTGGCTCGGCCTTGAGCTCCACCATTGTTAAGTGCTCTGAGACAACTTGCTATGTAAGTGCAAGTTGTCGTTGTTGGATCATTGAGTGTGGTGGTATTTAACAGTAAGGGGAGGTTTGAAGACTTGTTTACAATCCCATCCAAGAATCCTACAGCAGAACTTTTTTTTAAAGCTAAATATGTGGTAGCGTAAAGACAAGTATCACCATTCATCATATTTCATTCATAGAACTCATTGTATATTTACTATTAGCGTCATTCACAGAATTCGATCCTTATTGTAACTGCTAACAGTTCACAGTATTTACCTCCTGAATCCTCAGAACCACAGTATGAAGACATGTAGCTCAGTGGTTAGAGCACTCGCCTTGCAAGCAAGTGACCTGGGTTTGATTCCCGGCAGGACGAAACCTTGGGCAAGTTTCCTTACTCCACACGCCTGATAACCCCTTGAGAAAAAAATTTAAATTGGTCACTTCGATCCACTACTGTTTGTGGGTCACTGCTGTGTGCAGCGTTTCGCCCATATACAGTCAATTCACTTTACAGTATATTCTGTGAAGCGCTTTGAGATGTCTAGAAGATGTGAAAAGCGCTATATCAAATTTTTCATGACACAAATAGTATTAAACATGTGACTGTTTTAGGCGAATCAATTTTCTTGATGGAATCTAACATTTGAAGAATAAACTGATAAAGTGGTGCAGGGGAAAGCAAGGAGGGATTATAGGATTAAAGTAGGTAGAACAGTATGATGTGTTGGTCGGCCTCCAATCTTGGAATGTCTGTGTGTTTAATTCAGAGGGTGTTTTAACAATATTTCAGCAATATTAAAAAGTAGAGAATGTAAAAGATAGAAACTGTGTGTGCTTTGAAAAGGTGCTCAAGTTGTGAATGGTTTTATCCTCTCAGTCACGTCCACCAGAAAACAACCTGGTCACCTCCACCAGGAACCAGCACCAAAGAACAGAACAACCAGCCGGAAGCCGACTGCTCTCACAGATCCACATAAAACCAGCTGATTACAGGCAATTTTATTTAAAATGTAAAAATGGATTGCACCGTTATTCCAAATCTACTGTCCATACACATTATGTATGTATACACATATTACAAAACAGCCACATGATGTGGTGTGAGGTACTGGTCCTCTGGTGCCTGCTATCTGGTTGAATTTTAAACGAATGAACTTGGGAGCTGGACCTCCGTCAGGTAGATCATTGGAAAGCAGTTTCATTGCTTTAGATGCTATTCTTTTGATTTGACTAAAAAATCAAGGTGTTTTCATGCAGCTGCTCGCAAACAACTTGCTCCACAGATCTGAAAGGGTGAAACAATCCACTCATCTGAATTTTGGGCTCAAGAATTCTGCCTTCCGTTTGAGGCTCTGGTTCCAGTGTTTTTTCTAGACTGTTCTGGTGTCAAATCTCTTACTGGGCATAAAGAACACAAATTTTGTCTGGCAGAAGCTAGAGCATAAACTTCAAAAATGCACAATGCTGGAGAGCATGTTTAGAGAACCTACACCTCACCAGAAATAGCAGGAAGCTTCCTGTTGCTTGTGCACCCAAAACTAGCCAACTTCCCATTAGGTCTTTGCTTGTGGGGTTATAAAAAATTGAGTGAGATAAATCCCACTTCTCGATTACATGTCTACACCTCCCAGTCCCAATGGCAATCATAATCACAGCCAGTCAATCATAAACAGTCGTTCATAAACAGGTTACAGCATCCCTCGGGTGTTGAATCACTAAGTCCATATTTAATTTTTGACTTTCAGCCAGTGGCAAACTATACTGTTCAGGCATCAATTGGGTAAATGCCTTTTAACAGAAAGAGCAATGGAATGGCTTCCCACGTCTATTATTACCCAGGAAACAAAAAGGATCCAACCCCTCTCATGCTGAGATAGCTAAAAGGGTCTATTTTGCTGTTGTGATAAGCTTTCCTATCTTTGTGTTGATAATGATGCTGAAATACGCGATAGGTGCATTTGTTTAAAATTAAGTATGAGATTGTTTCTCACGTACTCACTGTTTTTGTAAGAAATCAGGTTTTGTTCAGGATGCTGGAAAATGTAGTTTTCTTTCTAAAATAGGCTATTTAAAAATCTAACAAACTGTTTAAAACACCTAGGTATTGAATAACCTTAAGACTTCATTCTGTGTGTTTGATACTTGTTTTATATGCGAGAACTGTGGGTGCTTTCAGGTTTAAAGCAACCAAACATCAACCAGTGGATGATGAAGAAAAATCTCCCAGGTTTAAGATCAATTTTGTCAAGACGTAGAAAATCTATTCATTATACTGGAGAATCCATCACGCCCTGGGATCCTCTGGTGGTGGAAACCATCATGGCACCAATATAGTAAGTCTGGAATGTTTTCAAGAACCTGAATGTTAAGATGTAGCTTCATCAGGAACACGTGGACTATTTTCTGAACATTTCAGTGCTACACAATTGACCCAGTTTCATTCCCTTAATTTAAATGTTTCTCCAGAAATATGTTGGTGTTTTTATATAAAAGATCCGCTGAAATAGGCAGGTTATGCTTAGTAACAGTGCTCGGAACTGTTTGGAATCACAATGCTTTCTGTGGGGGAGCTTTATCTCCATAAGTCATCAACTGCCCAGTTTGAGCTGTAACATAAGAGGGCATCACCCTCCCTGTGGGAGGAAGGTAAAATCAGAGCAAGCCAGCCAGCCACCCAGTCAATCCAGGAGCGATGGGAGGCTTGAGAGCAGTCATTTGTGAAACCACACTATGGGGAAAACTGAATTTTTTTTGTCCCTCATCCTCCTCAAAATTGCTTACTCATGCTGCGATACATTTGGGTAGTACATTCTAACACCTCTCAAAATGGCCATTCTTTAAGTAAATCCTAGACACTTATGGTGAGGGGGGGGGGGGGGAAGAATTCAGGATTTGCAACTCACAATGTCACTCCAAAGTAGATTCTATAGAATGCAAGCCAAAGCCCTAACAGGTAGGGTTGTTCTAGCTGGACAAGGGCTAGGAAAGTTTGACAGACACGATATCAATAGCAAGCTATGCGGTTTTAGCTGGTTAAGACTCCAGCAGTTACCTCAACCCGCACTCTGGGGTCCCCAAGCCTTGGATTTTGCCAGTTAGTGTCTAATACTCTCTTGAATTAGGTGAACAGAATGTATTTTTCCAAAGAGAATGTGCATTCCATTCCAATAGATGAGTATTGTCATGGGTTGGTTGGAATCATGGAACTGTTTGGTTTGTATATTCGTAACCATGATGAGTTTCCACATATGTCAGCCTGATCCCCCCAAAAATCAGTCCATTTCCAATGCTCATAAATTAGCACTTGTTTTTTTTTCCCCCCCTCTCCCCCCAAAAAAAAGCACTCCTTAGTTCTGGGTGAAATCGCTAAGACCAAGTACAGAATTTGGGATTTTCTGTTGTCAGTGGGTATAGGCTTCCAGCAAGCAATGTTGGAGTCGAAGGCAATCATAGCTTGTTTCTGTCAACAATTAGCCAAGTAAATTTTTTTAAAAAAAAAGCGTTTGACAATCTATAACATTTACTTTGAGTCCGGCTCGCAGCTACTTGCCCCAAACCCAGGCCCCTGCTTTAAAATTCCAACTAATAAAATGGAAGTATCGAGAGGATAGATTAATTACAGGCCATACATTTTTCCGGCAATTAATTGGTACGTAAAACTGTAATTTAATATTCAGCACAAAAAATTGCCAAGTGCAAAATATGCAAACCAAGATCAATCCATCTTGAAAAGTAGGAAAAAGTGGAGTTAGGAGCAATTTTGCTTTTCTAAAAGTTTATAAAGGAAACATGGGGGCCTTGAGCTCTGAGATTTGTTTTGGGGTGGGGGGTAGGAAAACAAATGTACCTGCACTCTTGTCTGAGCTGATATCTGGCTCTGTAACAGACTGTATCCTAGTTAAAAACTTTAAAAACTAAACTGGTCACATTACGGAAACATTTACCACGACCCAGATAGTTCACAGGAACAAATCCAGGCCACCTGGCCAGCTTAATTTGAGATGGTTTTCAAATTACAAGATGAATTCCCTCCCCCTTCAAAAAAAATCAAACCAATAACTTTCAAACTGCAGTTGATATTGCCAGCCTCGGTTTTATAAAGGTGGGGGATAATGGTATGTATACCTGCAGATATTGAAGGGCTGATAGTATTATATTAAAACAGTAGATTGTTCTGATCATATTCTCATTGATGGCTGCACTCCTTTTGGATGTCACATGGTGCCTAGTATTAATTGCATTGCTATGTTAGTGTTCAAAAGGAACATCAGCCCAACCCTCAGCAGCTGCTGTGTCTAGACATAGGTAACAGTGTGTAAATAAAATGACTTCACAATTCCATAGTGTGACTGTTCTTTCTTTGAAACATTAAGGAAGAGATATTATATCGAAACCAAAATTTCACAGCTCCGCAAACATTTTTAGGAACTGATTTAAACTCATTATGAAAATGGAGTCGGAATTTTTGTGGCTGTCGCGACGCAAACAAGCTAAGGAAACTGTGTTTTTAAAACTAATTTCCCCATTTTAAGATTCTGTTTCTCCATTGTTGGATTGCTACCTTTCCCAACACTCTGCAAATTCATCCAGTCCAACTGCAAAGTCTGAATGCTTTTAATGCCATTCTTTAAATGAGCTGCTCTGAGTGAATAAGATTGGATCATGTCACTCACCCACCCTCACTGTGTGGAAAAACTGTGGGTGTTATTCTCTCTACACTCATTTCCTATTTGTTGATAAATTTACTGCCAATGACCATGTTACTAATTAGTAATTGGCACAAAACTCATTGCTTTCTCATCATACCACATTCCACAGGTTTTTAAAAACTTAAGCTTGGCATCCTTCCACCAAATAGTTTCTCCCACTCTTTTCAAATATCGTTATAATTTGCACCAGACACTTTAGCCCTTCACCTAGATTGTTTGAAAAGAATGCACACCTCTCACTCTCAGCCCTGAAATAAACAACTGCATTAGCCTCCCAGCAAAGGCACAGCCACCATCAGCAGTCAGACATTGCAGGCTTGACAGCCCCATCAGAGAAACTCCGCGCACAGAAATTCACGCTTGTTTGGAATACATGAAAAATCATTCCATTTTCTAGATGTCAGATCTTCAGCAGTATTCAAGAGATGGACGTTGCACATTCCATTCCCACGGGAAATTTCCATACAGAGTATCTTGGTTCGATTTGTTTACTCAAGCAAGTCAATAGGTTGCTGTCGAAAAAAAGCAATCTAATAGTTAAGGAACATCCAACTGTACAGGCTGGAAATGCAAAAAAAAAGGCCCCTCTCCCCCCAAAAATGGCAGATATTTATGCCAGAATCGCATTGCCAATGGAAACCCATTACTTGAGAATTACAAATACTGCTGCAGAGTAAGTGAACCAGTTCTTTTCTGTACTTTGTTCAATCACAAGATAATCCAGTGGATGAGATCCTAGGAAAAAGAGAATGGAAATTACAGTGCAGTCTGAAGATGTCAAGATTTTTCAGCACCAGATTTCAACAAGGAGCTTTGAATTTACATTGCATTTATTTTAATTGGTTTCAAAAAATGGCAGCATACAATGAAAGGAACAGTTAAGAGCAGCAAAATATTTTGAACTCAACAACCCTCCTTCAGGGATGTTTAAAATAAACACTAAGAGTGTTTGCGTGTTTAAATCATTTCAGACTATTTTAAATATAATGAAATATAAATCTCCAGTGGTCTTGCAGCTGCAATGTTCCACAAAAAACGCCATTTTCAAAGTCTAGTTGTTAAATCATACAATAAAAATGTCATTACGTTGTTTCACATTGTATTAAAAAATAATGGGCAACATATGAACTAAATCAAATTAAATGTGGACTGGATTCCTGCAGGGCTCAGGCATAAAGCCAAGTTGCAGGAGTCAGAAAAAAAAGTATATAACGCCCATCATTCATTACTAATTTATTAACTAAGGAGCGGCCACTTTTCACATATTAAACATATCCAAAGCAAACTGCTTAGATTGCCTGTCACCACTGTAGCTTTGTATCTTGACGAGCACAACTATAGATACAGAACGGAAGTAACTCGACAATACCGCAGTGGGGATGTGTTCAGCGAAAATCTTTAGATGAGATAAATTAGAGAAACAGTTAGCATCTCTTGTTCCACTGTTGCCACAGTAACACACATCATCAGCCTAACTATTTCTTTTGGTCAGGAAATGTGGAAACTAACACGTTTCCATCAACTACTCAAACCAGAGGTCCACATACGCATGCCAGATGTGTGTCGAGATTTCCTTGTGTTTGGAATAGAATGCATCCTGCTTACCTAATTCCACAAAGCAATAAGTGCAAGTTGAGAGGCAAGGCTTGGGAAGCTCAGAGTGTGCCTTAGGTTACTGCTGGAGTTCACCCAGCTTAAACTGCATTATTTGCCATTTTACCATTAAGTCATGAGCCAGTGCTGCTGACATAGGAAGTCTTACAGTGCAAGTAGACTTAAGGGTGGGAAACTAAAAGTGAATGCAGTAATATCACTCAAGACTTACATTAAAACTGTGTTTCAATATACCTAATAAATAAAATATATTGGACACAATCAATAAGCTATTCCAGATCATTTCTCCGTAAATCTGTGGTACCAACACCACAAGCATTAATTTATAATCACTCAGCAAGAATAGTTATTCAGTCAGTTGTTACTCATGTCAAAAAGAACTCAATCCTCACAAAACAAATATATATTACAAACAGAGAAAGGAAAATATCCATGTAGAAGCATATATTGAACTCTCTGGTATGGATACTCAAAAATTGTGATGGTTTCCACACCTGGCTGACCAAAAAACAATGTTCAAAGCAGGTTTGTGTACTACAGAGTAGGATTTCAGTACAAATACATGTCCATAATTCTAACATACTCCAAATCTACTCCCTTGCTCTTCAGAAGTGATTCCAAGGTCATACATCAAAACTAGGAGCCACATTAAATGCGTGAGCTTTGCTTTTGCGATTTACAATGTAAAATAAACCCTTAGTTCAACCATGCTTCCAATCCCATCCCTTGTTCTTTGGGAGCATTTTAATAACGATAATCCACCTACTTACTCTAATTTCAAACAGGCATATCAAACATCCTTTATGGTTCAGGTTGATAGGAAGTAGGCAGGCAGGATGGTGTTTAATTTATGGAATGTTCTGTTGCAGATCCTCAACTTCAAGCCTCCAAGTGCTCTTGTGCAGGGCATCATCAGATAGATCGGTCACCTTCACTGCACGCAGTAATGGCTCTGGACTGCATGAAACGAGTATTCCCATCACCATTACATAGTTTCCTGAAACAATATCCATTATTGGTAGTTTCCCACACTGAGCATTCAAAGACTAATAAATTAAAATGGCCATTATAATGTGTGCTCAATGAGTAAGAAACAGTACACGTTCCAAAGCTATTTAGTTTCAGCCAGGCTCTGAGCTCTGTGGCATGTCCCAATACACATGCTGTAAAATTGAATGAGAAACAATCATTATAATAAAAAGTACTAATTCTCAATTCAATCCTCACAAAATAACGTATTTTTAACCATGCATGCTAATTTATTATATTAATTGTAGCTATCTTACCAGAGAAAAGAAACAAGCAATGGACATTCCAGGTTTATATTTCTTCCCCCATCCTCAAAAGATGCAATTTTAGGTCAGACTACCAACCTAAAATAGCTAAGATAACAGTTAAGAATTGATGGTCTTTGAATCTGTGCTGAAAATAAAGCTGACAATTTTTTTAACTAAGGATATATTAAAGTAAGATAATGTCATCACTCTTTCCAGAAGCACAGCTCTGAGAAAGTGAATGGCTTTCTTGTGACATACAACATACAAGACCATCAATCGATGATGGACATAATGAGAATTCCCTTGTGAGATTCCCAATGAGTGGCAGAGTTCAGCATTTATATCATAAATTGTTCACATGTATAACAAAATAACCCTTGTATTTGATATAGAGGCTTATTACATTAACAAGTCAAAGTATTTCAGTTTTCTGTAAAGTCTAGTGACTGTATTTTGTTGGTAAACAAAGTGACCAATTTAAGCACAGCAATGTCCACGAACATGTTGGCCAAGACTCCCCTTATCATTTGAAGCAAATAAAATGGAATTGAATGGTTCTACAGAGTAAATTGCTATTCTGTTCCCTCCAGAAAAGCAATAATTGCTATATCAAACCTTTTCTCCAGAAAAAATGGCAATAAAATCCATGGATCACAATTAAAACTAACAGAAATAACGCAGACAAGAGAACTTTTACAAACATCTACGGGAAAAGGAAGCTAAATATAGTCAAACCTATCTTCAACTACCCCTCAGGGGTCTGGGTCAAAGTGGCCTTTATATAAGGATGGCCTCTGAGAAAGGGTTTATTTCGACGCCATACCCAAAGCATTGGAACTCTCTCCACCAATCCCTCCACCTTGCCCCTTCCTTCCCCTTTTTTAAATCTTTTTTAAATCTTACTCTTCGACCATGTTTACAGTCCCCGGCTCCCCATGTGAAGGACACTATATAAATGCAAGTTGTTGGTGCGTTTTTTATCCCTATCCATACTGTTCCAGGGTGGGTGTTTACAGGGACTGGTTGCTGGATGGAGGTGTTACTTGAACAGGTCTGATTGTGCCTGAAATTGTTTTCCACTTGCCCAAATAACCCCAAAATATATAGTCAATTCACTTTTTAGTACATTCTGTGAAGCGCTTTGAGACGTTTTGAAGACGTAATAAGGTGCTATATCAAATGCAAGGATTATTATTTATTAATACCTGTAGTTAATGTCATCCCCACACTTATTATAAGAATAAGTTACAATTTATTGTACCTTTCACACAAAGAGGATTTCTCAAAGCACTTCACACAAAGGACTGGCAGCCTGAACTGAAGACGAAATAGGTCAAAAAAAAGGTTTTAATGCAGATGTTAAAGGTGGAGAGGGAGTGGGTAAGGCAGAGGGACTATGGGATGGACTTCCAGAGTATAGGAGCAGAATGTCTGAAGGCTCTCACCTAAAGTGGGGAGAAGGGAATGTGAAACGGGCTGGTATTTGCTGGTGGAGGGAGTGGCTAGGGTAGGAGGGTCACAGGAGATCAGAGGTAAGGTGGGGCAAGGCCATGAAGACATTTGAAAGCGATGACAAGAATGTCAAACTTCATCCACTGGGAGATGGGTGGCCATCACTCCCATCCTCATTCGGCTCCACTGCATCCTCATCTCCAGGAGGATGAAATTCATGATTCTTGAATTTGGTCGAGAAGAGGACATGAGCTACAGTTTGGGATGATCTCCCACAATGACTGTCACTACACTTCAGAGTAAATAGTTTTGAGACATCCTCATAATATGAAATGTTAGGGTTATTACTAGGGAGAAAGTGAAGTCAGGTTAGCAGGAGATAATTGAGCCTGGATAGTGAATATAGTAATACATAATAATAATAATCCTTGCATTTGACACAGCACCTTCTCACGTCTTCGAGACATCTCAAAGCACTTCACAGAATATACTGTACAGTGAATTCCCTGTATTTTTTGTGGGCAAAACGCAGCAGTCAATTGCACACTGCAGCGTCTCACAAACAGTCATGGATTGAAGTGACCAATTCATTATTTTTTTTAAAGCAATTATTATCCCCAGAAAAGCAATCAGCCAACTGGGTTCATACTTAATGCTAGGTAAACAGAGGGGGGTGGAGTAAGGAAACCTGCCCAACATTTCGCCCTGCCCGGGAAATGAACCCAGGTCTCTCGCTGGTGCGAGGCGAGTGCTCTAACCACTGAGCTACAAGATTCCACGGATTGGTGTCTTGGCACCCTGTGGGGGTGAGGAAGCAGTAGAGGCGGACTATGTTTCAGAGGTGAAGGAAAGCAGGGCGAATGAGAGCCTGGTTGTAAATTTTGAAAGATAATTGAGGGTCGAAGAAAACACTGAAGTCTGCACCAGCTCCGTGATGTGGTGTGAGCACCTGGGCAGATTGATGCAGTCAGTGCCTCGGGAGTTAATTCCACCGAGCTGGCCAACAGACCCTCAGTGTGGTACGGCAAGGTGAAAGGACAGGACAGGACGCAAAATACAGCAGATGCTGGAAATCTGAAACAAAAACAGAAGTCGCTGGGAACACTCAGCAGGGCAGGCAGCATCTATGGAGAAAGGAAAGTGAGTCAATGTTTTGGGTCCACGATCCTTTGGCAGAACTGGGGCACGTTGGGACAGGCTGGGGTGTGAAGCGATTTATAGGTGGGAGCAAAGACCGTGACACTGATTCTCTTTTGAGTCAGGGAAACAGTGGAGCCTGGCAACAACAACAACTTGGATTTATGTAGCACCCTTCATATGGGTAGCTTCTCGGAGTACTTGAATGCAAGGACTGGGGTGATAGGCATGTGGAGCTCGGTGCAGGTGAGGGTGCAGCTGGTTGAGTGTTGTATGAACTTGTGCTTGTAGATGGGGTAGAGACAGGCAATGTGACAAAGATGAAGAAAAGCAAGTGCGGATAAATATTAAATGCAGGAAGAAACCTCACAGAACCTACACAAACGTAATACAAATACAAAAGTCAATGGAAAAGAAAATGCATTTGATCAGACTTCAAATAAGTGCTCTGTACCTTTAAAACCCTTCCTAAAACGTACCTTTGCCTGTGCCTTTTGTCAACTTCCTCAACCACCCGTCCAACCCGCACCCCCCCACCCCGCTCAGTAATCCACATCAGGTGGATGTATAATAATAATAATAATAATAATAATCCTTGCATTTGATATAGCGCTTTTCACGTCGGGAGGACGTCCCAAAGCGCTTCACAGAACACACTGTAAAGTGAATTGACTGTATATTTGTGGGCGAACGCGGCAGCCAATTGCGCAATTGCATATTGCAAGACATTTGTTACATGTAACATGATACATAAATACAAGTTGCGGGTCTCTTCTGTTTAAAGAACTATGGGATGAAGTTCCAGAGTGCAGGAGCGGTGTATCTGTGCGCAGAAGGGAACGTGAAACGGGCTTCGTGTTTTGTAAAGCCCTTTGAGATGTCCATTCTGAAGGGGGTAGGTTCCTGGAAGAGTCGGGAAAACCAAGGGGAAGGTGGAGGGATTGTGGATGCGAGACTGGCAGTATTCCAGAATTGGAGAAGAGGCATCTCAGTCAAACCAGACAAACAATAACAATTAGAAATTGTTACGTAGAGAGAAGCGTTGGTAGGGATGGACCGGCGGCGGGTGATGGTAATAATAATCCTTGTATTTGATATTGCGCCTTATAACATCTTCCGAGAAGTCTCAAAGCGCTTCACAGAATATAATTTAAAGTGAATTGACTGTATATTATCAGGGGGAAGGTGGCCAAAGAGGTGGATTTAAACGTGAGCTGAGGGTCAACACAAAGTCAAGGATGTGCACCGGCTCCGCGACCAAAAGAGGACGACCTCCTAATAATAATAGTAAAAATGAATAATCTCAGGACGACAACCTTTTAATAATAATAATAGAGATTAATAATTCAGGGCAGGACAACCTTTTAATAATAATAGATAATAATAATTCAGGACAGGACAACCTTTTAATAATAATAATAGTAATAGAGATTAATAATTTAGAACAGGACAACCTTTTAATAATAGTAATAATAGATTAATAATTCAGGACAGGTCAATCTTTTAATAATAATAATAGATTAATAATTCAGGACAGGACAACCTTTTAATAATATTAGTAATAGAGATGAAAAATTCAGGGCAGGACAACCTTTTAATAATAATATTAGTAATAGAGATTAATAATTTAGAACAGGACAACCTTTTAATAGTAGTAATAATAGAGATTAATAATTCAGGGCAGGACAACCTTTTAATAATAATAATAGTAATAATAGATTAATAATTCAGGACAGGACAACCTTTTAATAATAATAATAGTAATATAGATTAATAATTCAGGACAGGACAACCTTTTAATAATAATAATAGTAATATAGATTAATAATTCAGGACAGGACAACCTTTTAATAATAATAATAATAATAGTAATAATAGATTAATAATTCAGGGCAGGACAACCTTTTAATAATAATAATAATAATAGTAATAATAGATTGATAATTCAGGACAGGACCAGCTGTTCACAGGCCTTGTTCACATGACCCATCGTGCCCGGGGCCGGTGAGGGGAGGGCTGCCGCCAGCCTCGGTACCTTTGCTGATGCAGGGCCTTCCCCTGGGCACGGCGCCGGCCCCGGTCACGGTGAACGTGCCCGTCTCATCCCGCAGCTGCACGGTGGTGTTGTCCTGGGCCCGGCTGTCCAGCACCCGGCCCTGCATCCACACCACGCTCACGTCCAGCGGCGCCCGGCCGCTGCCCTCCCGCTCCAGCAGCCACGCCTCCTGGCCCGAGGCCCGCACCTGCCGCGAGGCGCTGTGGCGGAGTTGACCGGACAGCACTTTGCACGGCGGTGACTGCAGCTTCCCACAGCCGCGGGGCTGCGGCTCCATCCGCGGCCGGAGCTGCCGCCCAGGGCCCCCGCGCGCCACAAACACCACCTCAGGCCCCACCGCCAACTGCTGCCCTCGCGCCCACCTGCCGCCTCCCCGCGCCGCGCCGCGCGCATCATCCTCCACCAATCACAGGGCCCTGAGCCTCTCCGCCAACCACACTGCCCTGAGCCTCTCCGCCAATCACAGGGCCCTGAGCCTCTCCGCCAATCACAGGGCCCTGAGCCTCTCCACCAATCACAGGGCCCTGAGCCTCTTCACCAATCACAGTGCCCTGAGCCTCTCCGCCAATCACACTGCCCTGAGCCTCTCCACCAATCACAGTGCCCTGAGCCTCTCCACCAACCACACTGCCCTGAGCCTCTCCGCCAATCACAGGGCCCTGAGCCTCTCCACCAACCACACTGCCCTGAGCCTCTCCGCCAATCACAGGGCCTTGAGCCTCTCCACCAATCACAGTGCCCTGAGCCTCTCCGCCAACCACACTGCCCGGAGCCTCTCCACCAATCACAATGCCCTGAGCCTCTCCACCAACCACAGGGCCCTGAGCCTCTCCGTCAATCACACTCCATCACCACTGGGTAGGGTACCAATGCAAAGGTTTGTTGTCAGCCACGGTTGGTGGTGCAAACCTTGACCCCTGTGGAGGCTTTGCCCCAAGAACTGTGCTGTGCTGCCATCAACAACAAACAACGAATTACATTTGGGAGGACGTCCCCAAGGAGCTGAACAGTCAGGGGTGTGGACCCAAGTACCTCAGAGTGCCGCGGACCCGTCGGGCTGAGGAAGCGGACTAGAGACCGCCATGCAGGATGGGTTTGACTCTAATGAGCACAAAACTAACTGAATTCCAAAGCAGTTTCTAGGACCTCCCTGCGAGCTTCCTGGTGAACAACACAGATCAGCATGAAATGAATGACATTGGCATCTCCACCATCTTCTTCATTGAGCGATGGTCCACCAGCTGGAGGTGTGGAGCTTGAGCAGCAGCTTCTTACTTCTCTGCAAGACAATCAAGGTGGCCTTCAAAAGGGAACTAGACAGATTCCTTAAAAAGAGTCAGCTTCAGGGATATGGGGAAAGGGCGGGTAAATGAGACTGAAAGGTTTGCTTTCGAGAGACCAGGCACAGACACAAGGGCTGAATGGCCTTCAGTGCCATAAATTTCTATGGTTCTAAGGTATGGGCTGAAGAAACCCTCTCTGCTGCACGCCCAAGAACTATACAAGAGAACATATATATGCCACAAGCTTAACATACATTAGGACTTTGTTGCCATTGAAGAGAGGTCAACAATAACTTCACGCAGGCCAGTGTCTCAGAAGACGGTGCCCAAGCTAATATTTGTGGCCACCACAACCCCCAGATACCAATCCAAATCAATTGGGAAGGATTCCCCTTGTACCTTCCAAAGCCCCCTCTCCAGCCATGCAGAACATTAATACCACGCTTGGGGTACCATCATCATGGTGCCCTGGTGTTCAAGATGGTGAGTGCAGCACACAAGATGTCCAGGTAAGTCCCCATCCACAGTACAAAATCGTCTCCAATGGGAACAGCAGAAAATCAACCCCTTAATTCATAAGAAGACAAGTTGACATTTAGTTATTATGGTTATCATGCACTACATGGGCTGATGAAGTGGGGTCTCCTTGGAGCTGAACTGGCTCTAAGGTGACATGCTTGGCAATGAAATTTCAGAATCAAGTCAACCCTCTGAGGCAGTGTCGGTAGTACAGTTCCCGAGCCAGGCGGGGTGACAGACCAGCCAGCCTGTCTCTTCAGCCAGACTTGAAGGGGCAGACCCTGGGCAATAGGGGCAGGGATTCTTCCCACTCAGCTCTCGCTAACCTAATGGTAGGGTAGTCTTAGCTGGACAAACAGCAGGCAGCATGCCAGACAGTACTCTCAATGGCAAGCCGAACGGTTTTAGTTGGTTATAATAATAATCCTTGTGCCTTATCACATCTTCAATACGTCTCCAGTGCCCACTCCACCCCTCTCCCCCCATGTGCGTGGGTTGACCATGCCCCCCTGACTCATCGCTCGCTCTCAGTCTTGGTGTGCACATCTGTCTGCTGCCCCCGACCCATACTACCATCCCCCAACATGTCCCCCTCCTTTCCCCTATCCTTCTGTCCCCTATCCTTCACTAATCCTGCTCGATCCTCCTCTCCTACTTCAACTCCGCCACTCACATCCATGGCCACCTGCTAGACCTGGTGATCACTCGGGGCCTTACCGTCTCTGATGTCACCATCACTGACAAAGACATTTCAGATCATTATTTCATCACCCTTAACTCCTTCATCCCCCTCCCTGCCACCCTATCGTCTGAATACCGTATGAATCTCCTATAGTCCCTGGAGAAAAATTGTCCTCCACGCCCTCTCCACTGCCCTAGGGACATCTGAACTTCTACCCCTCTGGCCCTCCTCCTGCAATGACCTACCCTCCTCACCCTTCTAAATAACTTCCTCTCAGCTATCCTCGATACTCTTGCCCCCATCATCTCCCGCACCGCCTCCTACTCGCACAAATCCCACTGGTACACCAGCCACCTTCGCTCCCTCAAATCTCAGGTGCACTCCACCGAATGCACCTGGCACAAATCCAAATTAACGGATGACTGTCAGATCTGGCAGGACTGCAACAAGACCTACCGCTCTGGCCTCGCCTCAGCTAAGTCATCATTTTATTCCAAAATCATCTTGGAAGCTAAGGACAACCCCAGACTCCTCCCTTCTGCCATAAACCAACTCCTCCATGCACTCTCCCATGCCTTTGCCATCCTCTCCTCCACACCAAATACGAGGAGATGATGGATTTTCTCGAGTCCAAAGTCGAAGGGATCTGCTCTGCCGCCTCTAGCTCCTCTACCGTCCCCCCCGTCCCAACCCCCTTCCAACCCCCCCCCATCCCTCCCTCCACACTTTTGACTCTGCCTTCCCCTCTTCGCTCACCTCCATCATTTCCCATATGAAACCCACCACCTGCTCCCTTGATTCCATCTCTATCCCTCTCCTCACTGCTCCACCTCCTTGCCCCTCTACTAACAGACCTTGTTAACCTCTCCAAACCCACTGGCACCGTACCGATCCCTTAAAGACAACTGTCATTGCCGCTAACCTCAAAAAACCTTCCTTTGACCCATCTCTGCTCTCCAACTACTGCCCCATTTCAAACCTTCCTATTCTATCAAAGGTCATGAAACAAGTCGTCACCTCCCAGCTTCGCTCTTTCCTCTCCTAGCATTCCCTCCATGAACCCCTCCAATCTGGGTTTCGTGCTGCTCACAGCACAGAGGCAGCCCTGGTCAAAGTGAGAAATGACACTCTGTCCACCTGCAATCAGGGCTCTCTCTTTCTCCTCGTTCTTCTCGACCACTCTATTCTTCGCCACCGCTTCTCCTCTCACCTCTAACTCAATGGTTTTGTCCTTGCCTGGTTCCAATCCTACCTTTCCCACCGTCTGCACTTTGTGGCCACTAACGGCTTGCTAGCCCCTGCACTGTCACTTGTGGCGTCCTCAGGGCTCTGTCCTTGATCCCCTCCTCTTCAATCTATACATGCTCACGCTCTGTGATGTCAACCGCAGGCATGGGGTCAATTTTCACATGTATTCGGATGCTGCCCAACTCTATCTCGCTGCCTCCACCCTCGACTCCAGGACCATTGATAGCCTGGTCAATTGTCTGTCTGACATAAAATCTCAGACAAGAGCCAACTTCCTCCAGCTCAATGTTGGCAAGACAGACGCCCTCCTGCTTGGCTCCGGCAGCGCCTCCTCACTTCAACCGCTGACATTATCACTATTCATGGCTGCACTCGTCACCTCACCGAGCCAATCCGAAACCTCGGTGTCCTATTCGACCCTCAGCTATCCTTCAATCACCTCATTCGTGCCCTGACCCATTCCGCCTTTCCACACCTCCGCAACATTGCCCGTCTCCACCACTGCCTCTCACCGCAGGCCTCCGAGACCCTGATCCACGCTTTCATTACATCCCAGCTTGACTATGCCAACTGCCTGCTCACTTGACTTCTCAACTCTTCTCTCCACAAACTGCAGATTATTCAGAACTCTGCAGCTTGCGTCCTCTCTCGCACCAGGCTTCAGGAACCTATCATCCCCTTTCTGGCCCAGCTTCACTGGCTCCCCATTCCTCAGAGAATCAAGTATAAAACCCTCGTTCTTACCTTCAAGGTCCTCCACGGTCGTGTCCCCCCTACCTCTCTGACCTCATAACCCTATCTCAGACTGTCTGCTCCCTCCGCTCGGCAGACACTGACCTGCTTCAGGTCCCCTGCACTTCCCTCACCACCAGTGGTGGGCAGGCATTCTCTGCCCCCACACTTTGAAACTCTATCCCACAATCCCTACGACTCAACCCCTCTCTCGCCTACTTCAAGTCCCGCCTGAAGACCTTCCTCTTCGACCGTGCCTTCGGTCATCCTCACAACCCACCACCCCCATGCCCTCCTACCCTTCGGACCCCCAACTCCCAGCTCGCGTCCAAAAGCCGTGATTATCCAGTGCCCAGGGATGGCTTTCCACATGAAGGGCGCTATACAAGTGTAATTTATTGTTGTCTCAAAGAGCTTCATGCCATATACTGTAAAGTGTGGGTTGTGGGCGAATTCGGCAGCCATTTGCGCACAGCAGTGTCCCACAAACAGTCGTGGATTGAGTGACCAAATTCTTCTTCTTAGTACTATTATTTTGAATGCTTATTCCCAGAAAAGCGATCTGTCAATCGACTAACATCCGAGTTCCTACTCTTTGCTAGGTGAACAGAGACGTGTGGAGTAAGAAAACTTGCCCAACGTTTCACCCTGTCCGGGAATCAAACTCAGGCCCTTTCACTTGCAAGGAGAGAGCTCTAACCACTAAGCTACCGGACTCCACAATTAAACTCCAGCAGTTACCCCCAACAACTGCTCTGGGGTCTCCAACCTTTGGCTCTTACCAACTTGTGCGTAGCTATTCTCTGAAATTAAGGAATGCCATGCCAGACAAAAGAAAAAAATCCCCATGTAGGTCGCAAATATATGTGGAAATCTGTCTAGTTTGCATACT